CGCTCTTGTTTCGGCCTCGACGTCCGCTTCCGACCGGATGCGATAGAGATCTGTTGTACAGCCGTTTCACGGTGGTTGCTTTTGATGCGAGTCATTTTTTTACGACATGAAGATATATCTGTGTGGCGATCACGCGCGCGCGCGGATATATTTTTAAAACACGAGAAAAGCGGATTGGGAAGTCAGTTGGACCAGTCTCACACACCGCGTAAGAATTACAGACTATGCAATTGTAATTCCTCGAAGACTGTTGAAAGATTGTGGTTGCACGTGCAATGAGTTGCAAGAATCGATGGCTCAGAGAGGTAGAAACTACCGCAATTCATGCAACACTCTTGCACGTGCGTTATCCGTAAATTTTTTCCGACGATTCTCGCTTTGCGTCGAGATGTTATCCGGAAAATAGCATTCCTTGATGCATTATCGGATTGTCATTTCGATGCAAATGCAATAACATCAGGATCGATTGAATATTTCAATAACACTAAATTAGATTAGTATTAGACATTGCGTTGCATACATTGAAGCATATATATTTCACGCAAATGTTTTAAAGAAAAAAGAATCTCGAAAAGAATACCGTAAGGTACAAGAAATACAGAATAAAACTTGTATAAAAGGGGAACACTAAGATAATCATTTGCATTCGTCTCTTTAAGCCCTTCACTTCCTTGGCGCGTTGAAAATTTTTCGCGAACACCAAAAACAATTTTACAGGATAAGTAGAAGATCTATGGAATCTTCGTCTTCTTCTTCTTCCGGATTTAAACTGCTCGAATTATTGTCGAAGTTCTCAATAAAAAATACGAGGGAGGTTTAAAGAGGATATCGGACAATCGATTCCACCTCTCGTTGAAAGAAGACATCAGAGAGAATAAAAGTTCGGGAAAAGACGAGGGAAACATATACATACATAACGTGCATATGGAAATACAGATTTTAAACGAAAAAGTTCGAATACGAGGTTTAACAAATATATCTAACTTAAAGCCTCGAGTTTCAAGATTTCCGGCCAATCGAATTTCTTTTCTTATATTTTTCGCAAACAAGATTTCTTTTATGATAAGACATATTTTTTCTAAAAAAAAAATATAGTTATTAGCGTGCAATAAATTTAGATTAAAATATAAGTTAGTCCCGTTAAGAAAATTTTTCTTGCTCTCTCAGGCACGCTAAGAAACTCAACGGTGGTTGAAAAGTAGCCATAAAATCATCAACTAATTTTCATCAACGACGAAACTACCATTCGCTATTTTTTTTCTTTCTAAAAGTTCTCTGTAGTATAGTAAAAAGTAAGAAGAAAGTATCGCCGTAGCGTTTCGGAAAAATTATATTTCTGAAAAAAACCGATAATACTCTTAAATACAGATTTGAAATAAAAATTTTTCATTGTCATACATATTCAATTTCTATAAATTGCAATATGGTTTTATTAAAGCCTATCACTATATTAAAAACGTCATGAGGCAAAAAAATTTATTTTTTACAAAATCAGAAGCTAATCGTCCTTCATCTTTTTTTAAGAATATCGAGATACTTGGAGTTGCAATGCTTGTGATTTGCGCGAGTTTTTATATAATCTAATTTATATGTTTTTCTTGGATTTTTATATATATCTCAAAATATCTTATTATTTATATCTTTTGATATTTTAATATTTTACGATATATAAAGCTAAGAAATATGAAAAGGTGTATGAACAGATTCTCATTTATGTCCTTTCTCATGTGCATTACGCATCGAGTATTCCGGGATGCAGTAAAAGGTTATAGGTGAAGAAATCTTCCGTGAGATAATAAAAAGTATACGAGCGGAGCAATGGAGAGAAATAATTTTAAATCAAAAGGGTAGCTCGCGTGTCAAAGTAGCAATCCGATCTCCCATGTCCCTTTATATATATATAGCATACATCTTCTTAGTCTTTCGGAATTGTAACTCCCGGGTACTCTCTTGCTGAGAGTGCACTCCGAGCTAAGGATAGCATAAGTAATCTTTTTCTGATTTTCCGAGGAAACGACGTCGGTTGTGGAGATCGAGGGAGGACGGGCGGCAGGGTGGAAACCCTCCTTGACTCGCGCAATATATGCCATAAAAGACTTACGGCTCCCATCTCCCGAATTTTACTTTCAAAGCGACGCGCCTGCTATAAACTGCAGTCGAAACAGCTCGCGCGAATTCCGAAGTA